TTTCGGCAATGCACAAAAACTATTCCATTTACGAACTGCACACAGAACTCTCCTAAACATTAACTTCAACTCACCTTACAAAAGACTCCAAGGCCTTTGCTCGCAGTGCCTGGGAATCAGCATGGCGTTGCTTGTGATGAGCCTCTAGGGTGAGTCCGAGGCCATGATACAAATAGCATCTGGCAGTGAGGACACTGGCTCTCTCCTCAGCTGATCTAAGGGCCTTGTCCACCCATTCTAAGCCTTCTTCAATCTGTAAAATAGAGCATTTTCCTGAGGCCAAAGAAGACTGTTCTTCACCTTAACCCACTTTTTCTTATAGGCAATACATATTTCAGTCTATATCAATTTTCAGTATTAAATGCATATATGTAGATAGGGAAGAAATATTTCACTTCATATCTTTAAATAAATACTGTTGAGATGGTGAAAGACATATATTTTTTCTTTATGTCCCAGAGTCTAGAGATTGTAAAATCAACAAAGGGAGCTGATAGTGAAGTTCCCAACAAGGATTCATGATGATTGAGTATATGTTGGTGCAACTGTCATATTTTACTGAATTGATGATTATGTGTGACATAATATACCAATACAACTATTTGAATATATCCCAATTTTTCTGCACATCTCTAGATATCTTTAACATTTCTATCTAAAATTAAAAGAAAAAAAAAGGTAAGTCTTAGCAATCATTGTGAAAATCATTGAGAAAATATGTTTCAATGTTATTTGTAAAAACTGAAAAGAGAGCACCTCTGCTACATTTATTGATCTTTAACAATTAACAGTAACACCTTAACCCATTGACTGTGGCATTCCTGAACAGCTGTCTCGTCATAGGGACAGGCTTATTATTGAGCATTGACTGTCTGCTCAAGCTGGACTAGCAGTTCCTTTTTAATACACTTTACTGATTGTTAACCCTTCTCCTGTCTTTCATTATCAAGAGTAAGAAAAATGTAGGTAAACTTCGGAAAGCTATGTTTCTTCGGCTGTATGTGGGTGACATTCAATTTGAACTGACGAACAAAACTCTTCTGTGGTGCAACTTAAGTCAACTATTGTGTTACTTTTCCACTCAAATATTAACTGTTTTAATAACAAGCCTGTCCCTGGGACCAACTAGCTGGCTGGTCCTGGGGACAGGTTTGTTGTTGCACACTGGCTTTATCCACAAGCCAGACTACTTAGTTTAGCATTTTTAACATACTGTACTGGATGTTTACTCTTTCTTATTCAACTTATAGTGAAAACTCTCTCTGTAGTGAGGCTGAAATTGGTAATAATATCATTATGTTCCATCACTTTTTATGACTGACAATTGACAAGAACCTTGTTGTCAAACCATGAGGTCTGTGACCAGTGGGTTAATAGTCTTAGGTTGTGAAATTTAGTAACACAAGCAATTATTCTTAACCTACCTTTGGAAACATAATACAGCTTAATGCATCAAAGTCCTGTGTAACTAGGAATTCTCAACATATCTTTCTGTTTCACAGCTTTAAAATATTCAAAGATCCTATGACACAAATTTAAGAACAATAAATACCAAATTTCCTCTTTTTAAGCAACATGTAGCTGAAGTGACACTGCTGGGGAAAACCTAAATATGACAGAAACCTAAAAAATATGTGAAAAGGTCAGCCTTTGCCTTTCTTGGTCAGTATTTAGACTACTACCTTATGATTTTTTTTCTATCTCTTAACATCTTAATTTTATCCAGCTTTCTTCCTAAATGTCCTATCTCCTAACTGTCCAAAAGTACCTTGCCAAGTTGCTGGAAGCAGATCTTGGCTGCCATCAGACAATAGTGAGGTTCAGATGGCATGAGTCGATGGACTTCCTGCAATACGAGAAGCGCCCTGGCATACTTCCTGCCACATGCTAAGGCCAAAGCAAATTGCTGCCAGACATGGCTTGCTTCATATGAGAACTTCATTGCTCGCTCGAACACCTTGGGAGACAAAATAAAAAGCTTTTTCATAAGTTGGAAGACACACAAACATATATGTCTAATGTACAAACCGCATGCAAATCAGAATTATCAACCTACTGGTGCTAGATAATTAAACTGTCAACTATTGTTTTATTTTGCAAAATTTGGTTGCATATATATGGCTCCACAAGTGTTCAGCCACTAAGGAGCCAATTAGTAATCATATATCTCTTTAACTGATTTCCCCTTTCCTTGAGTTTTCAGGAAAAAATATTTTTTTCTATTGCTGTTAATACTGATGTGATAACTGTTGTTGATGTTATGATTATTATGATGTCATTGGCAATCCTAATAGCAATAGAAAATAAAAAATAATTTTCCAAAAATCATGAGAAGGGTAAACAGATGAGCTCGGTGGGACTACTGATTGATTCCTTAGTGATTAAGCACTTCTGTAGCCATTTACGGTTAAAGATAATAAACAAAAAAAATTATTAAAGAAGAATGTTCTATATATCTTCACTTAAATATGTGCAAGAACAATTATCATCATAATATGCAGGATATATTACAATTCCACTAGAGATACATGGCAATGAAACAACATTAGTCAAGACAAAAGACAAAGATAAACCTTCAGCGACAAACCTCAATCAAAATCTGATGCTGCTTTCTTCTAGCCAGGGATATGCAGAGAAGATCATAAACAGCTGTTGCATTGTCATAGGCATGGACTCTGGCATTCTTGAATTCTGGTGACTGACTCAGAACAGCTTCTCTGACTGCCATGGCCTCACTATTAACAAAGAGAGTAAGAAAAATACATCAACAATAAAATAAAAGAAAAGAAACAAGGAATCTATGCACATACCCATAAACATATATATCCTTAAATTTGTAAAGTAAACAGTAAGCACAGACAGCACTCTATTTGGAAAAATCAAGGACACACCTAATAAGCAGAAGTAAGATGATCTCTTCATTGATGTTCTTTGGTACAAAGAGGTTGGTACCAGTGTACTTCTGGGGCTTCCAAGGACTTTCTCCCGATTTGAGGCTTGAACTGCTGCGACTCCTTTCATCTGTTGGGACAAGAGGGAAGGTTTTGACATCAGGATCTGAATCTCTAAATCACTCTCTTTCTTTCAGTCATTTTCTCATTCCCTCATTCTCTCTCTCTCTCTCTCACTCTTCCTCCTCTTGCTCACTTCTTCCTCACCCTTTCTTTCCACTATTTCAATCCATTCTTCCTCACTCACACACCCACTCTCTATCTCACTCTCCCTATCTCTATTTGTCTCTGTCTCTCTCTCTCTCACCATTACCATCCTATAGTGCTTTTGCATTAAGTGCAATGAGTACTACCTACTTGTGCTATGTGCACATATAATGATACCTATACACATATACTCAAGAAAGTTCTATTTATTTTTAAAATAGTCAATGCATTCTTGAGTAACAAGCTTATATGACAGATCATAAAATCACTGATCAAAAACTTGAAAAAGATAATTAGGTAAAAAAATAGGTCAAATTAGGCTTTAAAAATCACTTTCATATTAACAAGATTTATCAACATTACTCTGTAGCTTTAAATCACAACAGTAATGCTGTTTAGCTAATCATCTGCAATAACAGTGGCTACCACATTAAAAAAAGTGCATACAAAATAAATCAACGGTTTGAAGTTCAGAAAACAGTCTATCTTACTAATCTCTACTCATTCCATTACCTTCTACAAAGAAACAATCCAATACAAACAATGCATGGTTTGCTTATATATTAAGGTGCATGTCAATAATAACTACATTCATAATGGACATTAAGATTAGGCTTTATTGCCATTCATTTAACTTTACAATGACTGAAGACACTTCTTCGTCATACTTTATGCAGTCATGAAACAAGTAAAATAATAATGGCATCTTACATGCAATCTGTTTAGGATAGTCATTGAAACAAGTAGAAGAATAATGACACCTTACATGCAAACTGTTTGAGATAATCACAAAATGGACTATGATAATGTATTATAACATGAAAATTACAAATTTGTTCTTAATGCCTATGGTCCTACTCACCAGGCTTGTGGCTTTCCAATTAATGTGTGGCTAGTCCTATTCATCATGATTGTGTGTGTCCAAAGCTAGTGGGCAATTTTCCTGACACTTTTTAATGATCATGATAAATGCACAGTACTTTTTTTTATTATCTCATACTGGTTAGCAAGTATCATCCATTTACATCTATGGCATGATTCCCTAAATCCTAAAACCTGTGTAGGTCCTCCACATCAATCCACCCCCTCCTTTCTTCTTGTGAATGGAGTACAAAGAGTGTGAATTAGTAAGTATGGTGCTATAAAGTATATCTCATCCAGACAAACCCCCTATCTTTTCCTCTTCCACATTTCCCCTCCAAGTACCATACTATCATCGCCCACTGAGCCATTCAACCTACAGAATTGTCTTCTTGTACATCAGTCTTTCAACAGCTTATGCATCTAGATAAATTTTAATACACCTAAATACACATTTAACTGTCTTGTATGATAAAAATGTGTTTTCAGTGCTTCATATGTGTTTTAACTATATGCTTATAGTAATTTGTCCCCAATTTCATCCATATGCCAGGGTTAGTTTCAATAACCTTTTCAACTTTAAACCCTACTGATAATTTGTGTATTTGGTACCCATCAGGGAAATAAAAGCTTTCTGCTGCATCAAACCAAGCTCCTGAAATGCCAAAAACTAATCTCTGTCTTAGTGGAACTGGGAAAATCAGGTCTCTATTTGTGGTTTTGAGGCAGATAAGCTTGAGTATTTGTAGTTCTCAGGGGTCAATATCTGCTTTAAGCAAATGCTTAAAATATTGCTTCTTCTTCAGTTACTGATATATTCACAAATTCAAAACAGTAAAAAAATAAAAAATGTAAACATAAAAGAATTTTTTTAAGTTTCACAGAACCAAACCATACTGCCTTCCTAATCAAAGTAACATGCCTAATCTGCATATTAAGATGAAGACTGATGCAGTAAAAATATATCAATAGAATGGAATC